ATCTCTGCAGTAGAACCAAGACAAATATGAATTTCTGTAGATAAATGCCTTTAGCGGATTTCCTGTTACTTAACGTAAAAGCTCAACATTTGCATACTAACTAAACACAACTTATTAGGAACATATAGTTATTTGCATTAAGTCATCTATTCTTCACAGATGACGTACTATTTCTGAATTTTAAAAAGAAACTATGTCCTTATTTGAACGGCTGCAAGACACAATTGCAAATGTTTGATTCTGTGCAAAAGGCAGAATTTATTCTCACCACATATACAGCCTGTATCTCACTTTTTATTCTGGAAGTGAGAAGGATTTATAGATACTGCTATGTATACCAAAAATAAGTCCAAAAAAGACATGCTATCCTGCAGTTGTCTACCACGAATCCTCCAGAAATTCGTGTCTATACACAGACAGAACTGCCATTTCAGAATTTAATTCACACATTGTCAATTTAATTGTTCTGAGATCTTTTCCACTTTAATCAAGGAATATTATGAAATTCTGGTCCTCAAAAGCACAGAGGAAGCTCAAAATTAAATACATTTTACTTGCATGTGTAATTTGTAAACTGCCATGTAATGCTTTTGGGGAAGTGAGGATCGAACTGGAAAGAAAAAAAAATGTAGCTGCTTCCCTAATACCTTCGGGAACCTGCTCTGATTTCCCACGCCTTCATTTACCAAGGATTCTCTTCCCCATCCAGCTTCATTTCCTATGGAATCCTAATCGACATGGTTTTCTATATGGATAAGAAAAGCCAGATGAGCAACCTTTTAGCAATACCAAAAGCTCCCTCTGAGGTTAAAGTAATGGGTGGCGCTGATCGTTCCAGGGAATTGATTATTTTGAACCTAATTCTAAGCCGCCTGACCCAAGTCTCTGAAAATTGGAAATCATTTGGCAATTTCCAGTTGCACAGCTGTCTCGCTGGAGACACGGTCTTTCCTTGCTGTTCTACACGATTTAGATGTTTGCAATTTTTGAAAACTAAAGAATACTTGAAGTCGCCTGTATAGAAAGGGTCTTTTGATCCTCCGTTACCTTTGATCTTCTCAGTCACTAGTGGAGCAGAGTCCACGCCTGTGCCTCTGATGCACACCTGACGTCTCCGGTGTTCTGTGGGGACAGACAGTTCTTGGCATATTGGGGAGGGCACGACTTATGGTCTCTGAGGGCAGATAAACGTGAGTTTGAATCCACCTGTCACTTCCCAGCTATTCATTCAACAATGACTTCAGAACCAACTGTAGGACAAGCTCCCCTGACGATGCCATTAATGAGGTAGATGACGTCCCTGCTTTCATGGACCTTACTGCTTAGGGAGGAAGGCTGAAAGCAAGCAGGATAAATTCAGAATTTGATAAGTCCTTGAGGAAATAAATAAACAGAAAATGATGGATGGGGGTTCTACTTTAGATTGGGTGGACAGAAAATGCCCTTTTGAGGTGACCTGAGCTGGGACCTACTATTTGGGTGTGGCAGAGGTCCTCTTAAAGCAAAAGAATAAAACAGTACGAATACAAAGTTGGGCACGAAATTGGAGATTAGAAGGAAAAAACGTGAAATACGAATTTTTAAAAAGTGGACAAACATCACGGTATCTAGGAAACTATAATCTGATGCCCTAACACACCTGTACAGTGCTCCCGGCCAGCATTTTTGGCGTTACGAGAACTGAATCCTCAGCTTATGAGTCTGCACAGCTGAAGGCTGAAGTTTGCCACAGGTGAGCTTCTGATTGGGTACATCACAAGCCTTGTCTCTCTTCCAGGAACTTTGAGAGAAGACGCTGTTCACGTAGTGACACTTCTGTCCCTACCCCTTCCTGCCATGATGCTGGGTACGTTGGCCCTGCGGCTGGCGGGGATGTCCTGGAAGCCGTCTCCACACTGGGATGGCTGACGGCGGCCTCTCCGCACGGGGACGTGGCTGAGTCTGCCCCACCGCAGCCACGACCGTGCCCCAGGTCCAGACGGGCAGTTCGTGTGGGAATAGATGGCGGTACTTACCGGCTGCAGGCAGATCTTACCTTTGCAAACTCTAGGAAAAGAGCACGAGCCTAAAAACACAGTTAGGGTCCCCCCGGGACCCTGGAAGGGGCTGTGTGAATGAGGGGTCCCGAATCTTAAGTTTCATTCACTTCGCAGCCAACATGTGATGTTCTCTGATGGGAAACCGATGAGAGTTAGACGTGTCCTCTGAGTTCTGTGTTAAGGTGACTCTACCAGTCAGGGGAGGAGGGCTGGAGGGGACGAGCGTGGAGGTGACATGGAAGCTCAGGCAGGGGTGACAGTAATGGCTTTCACTGGAATGGTGGCCCTGGAGCTATGTGCCTTGGTACAAGTTACTCACCTTTGCTGACTCTGTTTATTCAACTATATAACAGAAAGTCACCTCTGTGTCACCTAGCACATAGTGGGCCCTCGAGAACTCAGTGCTACAGTTTCTAAGAAATGTTTTACAAGGTTATGTAAGAATTAGCACTAACAAATACAGTGACTGACACATACTGGTTACTGACAAAGGATAGCTTCTTCTTTGTATATAGAAACAGGGTTTTTTAAGGCTGAAATATGCTTTGAAAAAAGCAATGAGAAGGAAAAAAACATATTTAAATTCTCCTTTAAGGCTATTTTTAAGTCTCTTGCCTCTAATTTGCCAAAACCCACCGATATACTTACTCAGCATCTGATCATCTGCCGTGGACCAGTGAGGTCGGTTAACAACGACTAACAATGAGCAAGACAGCAGGGGGCAATTTTTATTTAATTTATTGTGTTTCCCAATGTGAGCACAGACTGCTTCTGTGACCAGAAAAAGTAAGCTACTAGACTGTTCAGGATTCAGAAGACAACTTACCCTGCATTCTCCCGTCCTGTATGACTCTGAATTTTTCAGAGAACGTTATTATATAAGGCTCCTGGGTACAGAATCAAAAACTTGGCCTTTCCGAGTGTTGGGCATAAAGGAAGTCAGGGAACAGGTCCTTCCTGCCAAGATGAAAGGAAGCGAAAACCCTCTCTAACTGTGAGACCTATTTCAATTTACTCAGTCAATTCGGTTCGCATTTTGGGGCTATTGTAGGAGAAAACGGGGAAGTACACTCCTTTTAAAATCTGTACCGCTAATATGAATGTATGGTGTAAAGACAGATTAAAAATAAACCAAGGTGTGACCCAGCGTGCCCATTCTCAGAATACACCCAAGAGGAATGGCAGTTCATCATCTACTGTTCATCATCTGCTGAGCAGACAATCAGACGCGGCGGCGTCACACAGCGGGGTCTTCGGTGATAAAAAGAAACGAATGCCACTTTCTCTCATCCAGTAAACAAGTTAATTATCAAGCCATGCTATGATACAGAACCTTGAAAACGTTACGCCACGCGAAAGACACCAGTCACAAAGGACCACGTTTATGTAAAATGTCCAGAACAGGCGAATTCGCAGAGACAGAGAGAATAGTGGTTTCCTGGGGCTGCAGGAGGCTTGGGGCCACGTGGGGGTGGGGTTGCATGGCTTCGTTTTGGGGTGATGAAAACGTTCTAGAATTGATTTATGGAAGCGCAACTCTCTGAATATACTAAAAGCCATTTAAGTGGGAAGAATTTAAATGGGTGAATTATGTGGTATGCGAATTATATCTCAACAAAGCTGTTACCGAAATAATACAAGTAAACTGAGAAAGGTAACAAACTTATGTAATTCTGAATTCATTCAAGAATGAACAACTCTTAGTTAGCCTGAACAATAGAATGGTTCCTGGTGACTTCGGAGAACGCAGATGCTACAAATGCGAGTCAACTGTACAAAATAATGTAGGAGATTCAGAGATGTCAAACGGGCTCGGAAACACCTCAGCCTGGATACCCCACGTCGGCCTGTGCAGACTTGCAAGGAACTTCTGAGGGAGGGATTAGGCTGAGAGTGGCCGCTGTGGCTCAGGGCACTGACTATTCCTGGCTGTCATTAGTCACCGGGGCAGATTTAAAGAAATGCTAATGACGAGGACACCCCCAAAAGATAAACGTAATTGGCAAGCAACACAGCCAGAGAACTGCATTCGAAGATCACGGATGATTCTAAAATGCGGCAGAGCGCTCTCAAACAGTGCACGTCACACACACACACACACAGAGCTGGTTAAAACGGAGCTGGTTAAAACGGATGGCACATCAGAATCTGCACGACCTGCAGATCGCCAGGTGCGGCTGCAGCAGCCCACGCTCTGCCATCGGGGGACTCCATCGTGACGGCAATCTCAGCGACCCCTGGCGGGGAAAGCTCAGCACTGCAGCCCCCGGGCCGAAACGGAACTACGCTCACCGCTGGTTCCACTTTTCCCGTGGCCTTAACCTCTCCTGCACGCCTTCCATGTGGCTTGGCTGCCTGCTGCGGGCCTGTCCTACCTGAAGGACCCTCAGCATTCTGGCTTGGCTCAGCCCACACTTTCATTCTCAAACCAGTCCCTGGAGACAGAGACTCGTCACCTGGCCAGCCTGCAGGATGTGCCCACCTGGAGCAAAGAGACGCAAAGCCAGTGTAAACACCGCGGCTGAGAAAAAGTCAACTCGAGGTAGTGGTTCTCTCTCAGGGGTCGAGGGGAGGAGAAATGAGATCTGAAAGGGACACACAGGGGCTTCCATGCTGCACTGCACGTGTACAGGCATGTACGTACGTGCACGCACGATTTTAAGGCTGGCAACACCTAGCAGAGGTACGTGATCCCTACCTCACGAGAGGCCTTGTCCGACGTGCCCGTCAAGAGACCCAGGGCTACGGGTTCTCCAAGACACAGGGGAGCGACAGCTAAGGGAACCTTCGGGACACACTTCCTCCTTACTTTTTTATGACGCTGACGTTTCTGTCAACTTTAACGTCTTACGTAAAAGCAACTGCCCGCGCCGTCGGAGCGCACCACTGAAACGGGAAGGTCGCAGGCTGTTCGTCCTGCTGTCTTATCGATTACTCTACAGAGAAGTTTTTCCTTCACCGTTTCTATTCTTTCCAAGTTTTATTCCAAAACGAGGAGGGGTAGAGGGGCTGAGACGTTCATGGAGAGTAATCGCCACCCCCACAAGTCGACTGGAGCGCATGGCCGGGGCCCCGCGCGGTCGGCGCCCTTGCCGCGTGGCCGAGGACGGCTTGCGCGCTGCAACCGCGCGTGCCCCGTGAGCTGCGGGACGCCAGCCTTCGTCTATTTATCCTTTTCTTTCTGCTCCTTTTCCTTCTTCTCCCGCTCGGCCTTCGCTTCCTCTTCCTCGTGTTTTTGGATCAGCTGTTCCACCTCCTTCTGTTTGAGCACTCTGATGACCGTCTTCCCGCTCTCTCTCGTTAGCGTGGCGATTTCCACTAAGGGCAAACACACACATCGTGTTACAGGCGCGCACGCTCGCACACACACCCGAAGGCAACCGCACTGTCTCCGCCTGAGCTCGCAGCTCTTCCTTCCACGTCCTGGTATGTTGCAGGGATACCTTTGATCTTGCAATGTTTTTATTAACATGTTTACTTTAACTACCTTCTCCTAACCCATCCGACCTTCTGAGCTGCCATTTTTCTCTTTCTTGGAAAAAGGACCATCAGCTAATTGCTCGAGCTGACCTACTACCAGCTGCGCTGACCAGAAGGAACAGCAATGTCCTTGTTGGAACATCTGAAAGCTCGGCCACAATCTTTAACCAGTACGATTAGTTTTCATGTACTTTTCAGGTCTCTTTTTAAAACAAAGGCATGAAAAGCAGTTTCCACAACCGCTGACAAGAAAAGCAGACTGATACCAAAACGAGGACTTTTTCAAGTAGGGGAAACAGCAGAAATTGAAATGAGGCAGCAGCAGACAACAGGGGCAAAATCTGCGAGCAAACGGCAACTTCTAAGGAGCGCCGGGAGCGAAGTTTTCCTAAACCCAAGCAACGCGCTACTTCACCACGTTTGCAAAATGTCATTTAGAAGCCCAGTTTCACGTCGTTACATAACTTAAGCTAAATGAAGCATTTAAAATCGCAAACGTGGGCTTAACACCCGCGATCGGTAGATTCAGAAGAGCAGAGGTACAACGCATGCCCACACACCAACACGCCACCACCTACCCGCTCCACCGCACACACACCCGAGACGTCACTGCCGGGGCGGCGGTAAGGGGAAGGTAACTACTGACGTGTAGTGGCATGCTCAGGTCTCCAACTACGAACATTCGGGACATTCGGCTAAGGCCTTAGGCTTGGGGTACAGTGTGGGCTTGTGGCTCCACGACTTTTCCATGCTGACCTTGGTCAAGTCATTTCATCCCACCAAGCCCTAGTGTCCTCATTTAGGAAACAGGTGTAAGGCCACCTGACTCAGAAGGCTGCGGTTACAGGGACCTACGGTGACACATCAAAGGCCTAACACAGGAGCCACTCGATCGACTCCCTCACGAAAGCAAAGAAATCAGAGGAGAGGACATAAACTACCTTTCTCCGCAGAGAGTTTGCTAACATCCATGGTCTTGTTGAGGACTTTGATGGCTAAAGCGAGCGCTGACTTCAGAGTCATTTCTCCTTCTTTGTAGTCTTGTTTTAACATTGACACGGCTGCCTATGATACATGAAAAAGAATCAACAGATCATCTCCTTTAAATTTTTGCATTTTTAGGACTATGGACTGGGCAAAAGAATAAGATCTGTATTGTTACTAGCACATAACCAATACAAACGATTTTGATGGCAGGGAGGGAGAGGTGATGTGGGATGGGGTGGGGAGGGGTGTCGATACTCTGTGAACAGTCTTGAACCTGGGGTCTCAGACCGCCAAGGATCCGTGATACAATTCAGGGGGTCTGTGAAACAGGACGTGGAAAAAATTACATCTGATTTTCACAACTTGTAACTGAAAATCGGCATTTCCTTCAGTTATAAATGTAGGCGATAAACCCCAGCAGTATAAGCAGAACTTGCAACTTCGTCACCAACAGCAATCACAGACGTTAAAGTCGCCGAAGCTATCCTAAAATGCTATTTGCATTCATGACTGTTTCGAAATCCCAGAAGTTATGAGCCAGTTAATAGATCGCACAGCAACACGAGAATACTCACGGCGCTATTATTTCCAATGCATGTGGCTTTCCATCCCCCATAGTTCCCACTCGGGTCGCTCTGATAGAGCTGAAAGCCGTAGTGCTTATCCCAGCCAATGTACAGCAGCGAGACGCCAAAGGGACGTTTTCCTTTAACAAAGAACAGAACCCAAATGCGTCAACCATCTGAATTCAGTATCACTACAGCTACCTGAGCTCAGTGCATGCGGCAACCCTTTTCTGTGAAGCTAAGCATTCATAAACTGCTTTGTGTTCTGGCCCCGAGATAAGCTCCACCGAAAGTCAGTTTTTGTTTCTAGGATTTGGACACGGCCAGGAAATGGAATAAAGACAGGCGACCAGTGCTGAATTTCATTATTATGGAAAAAGTAATTTGTTTCCAGATTTTAAAATATTACTTTGGCCTTTCGGTAGTCTATTAATAAAACAAGTAATTTACATCGTGGAAGCCACTTCCTTTATGAAGCAAGAATGTACGAAAAATGTTTACTTATTTAATGTTTGATTTCTTTTTTCCATCTCAAAAAGATCATTCATAAAAAGTTTTAACTTTCTGGAATAAAATTTGCAAAAAACTCAGTACCTCCAAACTGTGTATAAGCTTGTTTGATATCACACAGAGCTGTAACCAACTGCTCACAAGGAATTGGCTCCTGATACTGTAGTAAGTACCTAGGATCAAAAGATGTGCATATTGATGGGTTTTTCTGAAACGCATACATATTCTAAGCAAAATACTGTCTGAAAGGCAATCTATGCCACAGGGACAACATAATCATCACCTATAATTTAAAAGGGACGGAGAACAGGGGCACATCAACATCCTAACATTCTTATGGTAAATAACACTTCACAAATTCGGTGAGAACAAATATGACACTGTAAGTTTCAATAGATTTTTAATGGCTTTAATCTTTACGAAAAAGAGTTCTCCTTAGGGACATCAAACTAATTTATACATCATCAATTACGATACTTGTGAGTATACCTTTGAGCAATGAGCCTCAGTTCGTTAGTCAGAACATTAGCATCAGAAGTTATGCCTGCCACGCTGCAGGCCATGTCCCTGGAGAAAAAGAAATACACGGACATGTAAGCAGGGAAGATGTTCGAGGGACCTTTACAAGTAGCACGAAGTATCGAGCTGTTAAAAATTCACTATGCTTGCTTCAAAGCCGCTTTACCCTTCACACGACAACTACACAAGTGTTACCCCAGTAGGAGACCTTACACCTGACGTTTCTTAACGTGGAAGATAAACAAGTGCACCCTCAAGTTCAACAGATGTGGCTATGACCACCACACGGTGAACGAAGCAAGAGGACGAACGCCAAGCAGCTAAAGCCAATCCCGAGAAGACTCAGCGGCAAGGAGGAAGGTTTTGCCTGACAGGAAGACGGACTGCCCCGTGCTCTTGGGGACTTAAGCAGTCCAGCGTGACACCGGGGTGGGAATGAGGGGGCCTACAGCTGGCTTCATACAGAGGGTGCACTTCCTCTCTTCGTCTTCATTCCCTGAGGGCTGCCCTGGTGCCCCTACAGCCGACACCCTGTCACTCTGCCTCGCATACAGACTGTAGGCTGCTGAGTGGGCCCAGCAGTGACTCTGTGGAGGGATGAACTTCCTGGGACAAGCATATATAAAGGCCCTATACATAACCAACATTCACTTGGCCCACAGATAAAAGGAAACTCTCTTTAAATGGGCAAATCCAGCTCTCCATTAGCTACCGAGGCCTCCGCCCCCAACTATCAGAAACTAACAGGGCTCATGTAAACTGCTCCCAGACCTCCGAGAGGGAAGATTCACACTCTTTGGACAAAATTCCCTAGCCATTCTCAGCAATACTTTGAGGGCCTAATGCCTGTCAGACTTGTGTTGATTTTATTCGTTTTATTTCATTAACCTGCCATAACCACTCTGGTAGGCTCTGAGGCCCAGAGAAGGTAAAAAATTGGTGCGAGGTCACACGGCTTGTATTGGTCAAGCCTCGATCTAACCCAAATCTGTGACTACCAAAGAGTAACACGTGGTCCTAAGCTTCAAAGCGGTTTTAAGCAAAATAAAAGCGAAAATTTCTACCAGAAAAACACAACAAACTATTCCACTCTACTACGTGGAATAGTCACCCCAACATGCGATCCCGTTTGTGAGCACGAGATATTTTTAAACTCTCTCCCCTGAGAGCTCACTTACTCATTGAGTTTATAAATTTTTTCAGAAAAAAAGACTTCATCAAGAAGCTTGTGGATGTTGCGTCTCTCTGCTGCAAGCAAAACTCCATCGTTTGCCAAAATTCCCAAACAGGTGCCTGCATGCCCAATCGCCTCCATCGCATACTCGACTTGGTACAAGCGACCTGCAAAACACAAGCGGCAAGAAACCCAGACTCTCCTCAGGTCTCAGAAAATCAGCGGAGACCTGGTGGCGACAAAAAGGGGTCCCGCTGCCATCCTTCTACGTTGCACGCAATCGACCTGGTGATCGTAATTACTCCCAAATACAAAGAGGATGAACAACTTAGCGACTACCGAAAAAGTTCTTAGATTTTTTTCCCCCCAAAAAGTCAAACGCTTAAAAAATCTATTTAAGATGGATTAAACAATTTCTACTTTACCTTCTGGAGAAAATATAGTGGTCCTGGAGTCATATCTTCGAGACTGCAAAGGAAAAACATACGAGTGATTCCTGTGTGCTGAAAGTAACTCCCGCGAGACCCCAAAGCACCTCCTAAAGCACATCTCCGCATACAGAGTCCCGTGTGTGCAGGGCACCGACGCGGGGGACACCGATTCATCTCTCTCCTTCCATCCCGACTTTAACACGCCAGTCTATACCCTGAGCGCAAGCAATACAATTCGTCAGGCAGCGGCTTACTGGCATGTGCGTTAACTCACCATGTTTTCCGAATTTTAGAATTCCTGCAAAAAAAAAAAAAAAAAAGGATTCTTATTAAAATGAAATTTATAATTTAAAAAGCATTTCCTAACTTAAAAATCTGTTTCGCTCACTCCATTCAGCTACCTTTATGTGCACCTCCTGCTAAGTGCAGCAGGCACTGTGCCAGATGCTAGAATAACAGGACAGGTAAACCAACCCCTGACCCCAGGAGCTTGCAGTCTGGTGATCAGGTGAGAGAGGCAGGCACGATGACAGCGCAATGTGCAAACACAGCAATGGAGTGTAAAGTAGAGTGGGAGGAGGGATGGCAGAAAAATCAAGAAGGTGTTTTTCGAGAGGCCATCACAGAAAACAGTCCAAATCAGAAATGAGAGGCAGAAAGAAGGTTGAGAACCTGCAGGTCTAAGAATGGGGAGGAGAAAGGAAGAGGATTCCGGGCGGAGAAAGCGAAAGCAAAGGAGACTGAGGCAGGACAGCTCAAGGGGCGGGGGACAGACTGCTGAAGTTAAAGAACGTGAAGCAGCCACAAAGCTAAGCGGGTGGCAGATCACGCAGAGCCTAGGACGACACGCTGGGACAGGGGCGGGACTCCTGCAGAGTGAAGGGGTCCCGAACCACGGAAGGCGGCGGGCGGCAAGCGTGGGATCACCTTCACTCTGTCCGCAGCGGTCAACACTGGGACTCCGCGTGAGTTAGCGGAAAAGCCCGACCTCCGACTTCAAAGCCCACTTCCCAAATCCCGGAACATCGGAAATTGAGCCTGAGGGGCCAGTGTGACTTTTCGCCCTTAATTAGGCCCAGGGGCGCCACTGGATGAATGGGCCGGGGAGCCTCGGGGCCCGACTGGCACCTTAGGCCGATCGTTCGGCGGGCACGGCCCGGAGGCGGCCCGCTGGACTTCCTGATGCCCACGCCCGACGCCGGGGCTCGCTCCTCTCGTGTGCGGGGTC